TTCCTGTAGTGAATTTAACCGTTGGTGGCCAATAATGTTGAGTGCAGGATGTTTTCTTCATTCAGTGACAGCTCTGAATTGAGAAACATGTAAACTTTATAGAAATTATTGGCAACAAGGTAATCATGCATTTAATTGCAGATGTGGGCATTTTATGGGGTTGGGCGATGCAACATAATTTGGCTTTGATCCGATACCATGTAATATCATGGCCAGAATCACCAATATCAATACCAATAATACAGATATCGACACTAATCTAGGTAACCATTATGTAGGGAAGAGAAATTTGTCTTCATTTATGAGGTGAATACATTATAAATAGTCCATTTAATCATCACCAAATAATTGCAAAACATGAGGTATTTCTTTTCACTCTTCTCTGTTGATTACTTCATCACATGCACATTTTAATGGTAAATAATAAATGTTTGGTATGTTCATTCTCTGCAGTAAAGAGCTCATGACTGCACAACAGCGGCTGAGATGCAAAAATCACATTGGGCCTACTGACACAAGCATTGGTACGCAAAACAAGACTTTGCATTGGTTGTATCAATAGTTTGAGGATCGATCTGCATCCTAGCATTTTAAGCAATGTAAGCAACCATTATTATATTCATATAGTCAGAAAGAACATCTTCTTTAGCTACAGTATACAAAACTAATTACAGCCTTGAGTTTCAATACAAACATTTTTAATATTGTCAAGAAACTGCTGATAATATTTCATATATTGTGTGAACGGCTTGGTAGAGTGACATGAAAGACAACAATAAATAAACAATATAAAAAAAAAATAATAAATGAGCATAAAATGCCATATTGTTGACAAACAGCAATCCAGACTTGCACTGTGCATGCTGGTAAAAACAGATATGTTATTAGGAACATGTGCGTTGGTATCTGCTGTGAAAATTACTCCCTCACAGTCAACAGTCACTGTCAGAACATCATGTAGATTTAAGATTTACAAGGACGGAATCCCTCCATTTAATTAAGATAAACAGTTTGTGAAGCTGAAACTACAGATGTTTGAAAGTCTCTCTTTAGAAAAGCTGTTCAAGAACAGCATACATTATAAAGTGAGCCTGGAGATATTGCACCGTGTACATAATGTCTGAGTGTGCAAGCAGCTGTGTTTGTTGTGGAGTTAGGTTGCTTTATGCACACAGTATAACAGCCCAAGCACTGATTTGAGCTCTGCATCTGGTCCCACTGCTCATGACTGGAGTCTGTACAGTAAACAACTGCAATAAACTGAGGAAGCAGGTCGTTATAGTCCAGACATTTATTAGATGTTTTATGGAGTCCAACACAGAAATAATGTGACTGCTATTTTCTATTGTCAAGGCAACTTCATGTGCATTGTTTTTCAGCTCAGTTTATATATGAATCCCTTCTGGTGCATCAGTGCAGGTGCTGCTTGTTAACATCCTCAGGCTGCAGTACTGAGACTCTAGATAAATGTTGTAACTGTAGAAAATCCCAGCGGCCGTTCCTCATGGCCAGCGGTGATACAGACTGGAAAACTCAGTTACTAGTATATTAGTTCCACATATAGATATCATGGTGCTGTTTCTTATTTGTAGGTAAAGACAATAAAACAAAAGAGATTGGACTCCTGACTTCTCTGGTATTACTCAGCAAGCGGAAGCAGTAGCAGGATGTCACCTGTTTGAGATTGCAATTTGATGGCTGTGGGAGACGGGAGTTGTTCATTAAACCTAGTTTACACACGCAAAAGCTATATGTCATTGTCTTTTACAAGGCCGCAAGGGACAGCTTATGCAAAACATGCAGCATTGCACACAGTACAAACTCTAAAATCCTCACACCTATTAAACAGAATTTGTACTCGCTTGTAAAATAAAGCATCTCTGGTCTTTGGGTTACTAGCTGCCAAAAACCTTGCTTTGCAAATCATAACCAGTCTGCTTTCAAATCCAGAATAAAATCCTTCTTTATAGTTTCACAATATTATTCTATGCTTCTATCATTAATTACTATTAATTACTATTACTATTACTATTACTATTACTATTACTATTACTATCTATCATTAATTACACTAATTACACTGATCTCAGACACAGCTTCTTGTGGCTAATGTTTACAATACACACACGTTTATTTTACAGCCGGTGTTGAATGAAAACTGTGAACTTGGTGATATAGCTGACAATAATAATAATAATAATATTGATAATGATAAAAGTAGAATCTGACAGTGTTCACACTGTACAGCCAAAATGATTATAATCCATATCATATCCATCCAAAGGAGACCACAAAAATACACAAATTCTGTGTTATTGAGGTTTTCCTAAAAGCTGTTATTTTACAATCACCAGAATTTATATCAGTAAATTCAAATCTGTTTATTTGCGTTTCCCACAGTTTAGGCTGACACAATCACACAAAGTAGTGCTTTTTTCATGACAATTATTTGTTCTATGTTTTGTTACATGTTACTTGTTTTCAGATCTGAAAACAAAGCCTAAGCCTCATATAAACGAATGACAAGGCTTAAATGCCAGCCATTTCGCAGAGATAAGGACATATGGTAAAACAAACAAACAAACAAGGTCACACAAACAGCATCACTGTAAATATCGTTGTGCTTCCACCACAGATCCAGTTGGCGGCATCCTTGTACAATTGTTGACTTTCTTTTCTACTGTCACAGTTTTCCCAACATCTGCCCGGTCCCATCTTATTTTTTCCGTTGTCCTACAAGCAATCAGTGATGCTCTTTTAAAAAACGCAAACAGCATTTTCAGCCTTTGTGACTCAACAGTGAACAGGCTGTTCATCTGAAATAAATCAAGGTCAGCTGCTCCTTCGCTTCCGTTTTTTCATTATTGACGAAAGGCTGGGGAAAACACAGCACAGGGTGACACAGCACCTTCTGTTCTATTCTATTGATGGGAGGATGACAGGTTATTTTTCCTGTACAAACCTGGGACCTGGGATGAAATGCCAGCTGTGTGACACAGATATTCCTCACTGTGCTCCAGCATGCCTTAGCAGAATACACCCTGCTGACTCAGACCTCATTAAGATGCACTGAAGGGAGCAGCTGTATGATTTCCAAGCAAAATGGTAAAATTAGAGCAGAGAGAGGAAAAAAAAAACTGATGAAAAATGAATGTTGTGAAATGTTTTTGCCAGTGAGACAATAAAGCCCAAGTGAGTAGAGCAGCTGAATGTTTTTGCAGTGGCACATTTTAAAATGAAGTAGGCTACTACGCTCCACAATAACAAAAAAGAAATGAAATCAGTCTAATACAGTAATCTTGTATTCCTGCAGTGAATTCTGGAAAGTCTGTGATTTACTGTATGTACACACATTTTCCTGCCCCTGTAAACTGTGCTGAGGTCAAACCTCGTGTGCCAAAGGAAATTAGCTCTGGATGTTGTCGTCTCCTTTATTTTTATTTACAAAAAAATTCACAGGAAAATATTTCTGTCTCGTAGGAATTTTGAAGGAATGTTGAAGGTGTTACAAATAGTCCTGATGTACATTTTCAGAACAGACAGTCACATGTGCAGGGAATCTTTATACTGACCTCTGCCAAGGAGGTTATATTTTCACCCGAGTCTGTGTGTTTGTCAGCAGGATTATGTTAGCAGTACTGAACTTGGTGGAGGGATGGAGCATTGGCCAGGGAAGAACCATTCAGACTTTCTGCCCTTTCTGAGTTTCCATCTAGTTATATCTGATCCTGTTTAGTCCCAAATTTTATAGGGTATTTTGTAAAGTATGAGTTGGGTAATTCCAGTAGGACTGCCGGCTATTCCTACAGGACAAACAGAAGTAGCTGTTCTGGAGCTCTCGATCATTTCACAATACCTTCTTCAGCAGATAGTGTTTTCCCAGTTGTCATTGAAGTCACTGTAGATATTCAAATGTAATCTGCTGAGGAAGATTTGATGTGTCAAAAGCTCCAAAACAGCAACTACTTATAGTGAGCTTGTTTTGTCAGCTACTATTTTCAATACTTATTATATTCTCAGATGTGTTAATACAACAAAGTGGAATCATGTATTTTCTCCCTCAAAGGTGACATACAGACCTCAGAAAGAACAAAATAAAACTCTTGAAAAGACAGTTTCCCTTTATTTCCCCTGAAGCTATAAGGTTGAAAAAAAAAAACATATCATCTTATTCCACACAGTGACAGTATCACATATATATTCTGTAACACTGCCTTCCAGTTCTTCATTGAAGCAATATGTTTATACTGTGACATATTGAAACCCAAGGCTCTGTTTCTTATGACAATCTTATGAAGTCTAGTTTCCCCAGAAATATCCAGCTGCATGTCTGTTTGCAGGTTATTTCTACATTTAGATGTTGAGCATGCGGAGTCAGACAGTCCAGCACTTTCTGTGTCCCTCTTGTTCCTGTCAAGCGTAATGCACTCAGGTGCTGTTAAGGTGGCAAGACAAGGTCGCAGGCATCATTTCTCAGTGCCACCGGGTACTGGTTATGATTTAAAGCTTCCCCCGCAATAAATAACAGAGTGAATCAGTTGGCTACTGGCTGCTGTCCCGGGGTTAAAGTATCTGCAAATTATGAGCATTCCTCTTCCTCACAGTTTCAGTCGGCGAACACTTCAACCTGCTGCAGTGTCTCTGGCTCAGGCTACAGCTTTTAAGTTAGAGTATCCACACTCAAAAGTAATGAGGATTCATATTAACCTCCAGGCCTAGAAAATGGATTCAGAACAGAAACCTTTGAACTGCAATGGCCATTGCTAGGGCTGCTCTGATGGGGGATGCTGTTAGAGATAAGAGCCACATATAAACATTGAAATTTATACCATAACAGCGTTTATAGTGATTGTGACAAATGTAAGCGGCTTGCAAAGACATCTGCTCCATAAACATGATTTAGCTGTTATTGTTAAAAGTGTTGCCCATTAGTATTTAACACAGGAAAAAACAGAAACGAAAGTTAAATCACATCTTGACTTTAATGTATAAAAGACCAATAACAGCATTTTACAGCAGCATATATTGTACATACATAATTTATACTGTAAAAGAGCAGGTGAAATATTCTGGTACAAAAAGAGGAGATGAGCAGCTGTACCATTTCTCACCAACCCTCGTTTTATTACACCTCTTCGTCATCTGAATTCATGGTACAAAAAGAAATACACAGTTACACATGGTATATTTAGTGGCCACTGTATAATATACAGCATAACATACAGATTTTACATTTTTTTATGTACATAATATACTTATTTATATACCTTGATTTGGAATGTCTTTATTTTTAACCTCTGACTGAAATCAAACTCTCTGACAACATCTACACAGTGGAGGTGACACACTTCTTCTGGTGTGATCTTAAGAGAATTACTCTCTAAATAAACAGCGGGCAGGTCTGAAGGGGAAGAAAATAGAATAATGCAGCACTGCATTAGGCTTGAATAAACATCAGCTCAGCTGTGGGGGATTTCTAGCCTGCCCGTCTCTGCTTTTTAGATGTCATGCCGGCAAATTTGGGAGGCTTTTCAATTTTCTCTGACTCCTGGGGCACTTGGCTTTCAGCTGTGTGGTGAAAGTGTGTGTAAGTGTGTCTGTGTCTGTGTGTGTGTGTGTGTGTGTGTGTGTGTGTGTGTGCATGTGTGTGAAGTGCATCCTGGGGGCTACATTAGCTCTAGATCTGTCAGTTCAGACAGGATGCCTGCTTTGCCTCTCAGTGTCAGGAGTTAGCTTTCTGTACACTAGACAGACACAAACACACAAACAAACACACACACACACACACAGAGAGCAGCAGATTGAGCTTAATAGCCAACACAAATGACATGTACAGCATGAACCTGCAGTCAGAATCTTCGTATCGAAGAAATTTCTTGTCATGTAAGTTCATTTAAACAAGTCCACAAATATGAGCACACAAGGTCGTTTCATAGGATTCATTTTCAGCTTGTGTCTCATGCTTTGTTTGCAGCTGCGTCAAATCTAATAACACTTTGAAGTCAACATCAAACAAAACGTCGGCACCGGCTGAATCTACGTTATTAAATTCATGCTCTCATTATATCGTCTGTTCTTCATTTTGTCAAGGTATCCAATTCTGCTCTAAAATGTAGTGGTGCATGTTTTTGTTTGCGCTTGAGTGTGTGTGTATGTGTGTGTGTGTGTGTGTGTGCAGTGATGAAATGGGAAAATGGGGATGAGGAGAAAGCAGCAGGGAATTGAAAATGTGGAGAGGGGAAGGGGGAAGATTCTCATTTGAGATAAAAATATACTCCGTGCAATCTCTGAACACCCAAACACATGTACACACACACACACACACACACACACACACACACACACACACACACACTGAAGAAACTACAGTGGAGAAAAAGTAGGTAGCTGGCAAGCAGAAAAGCTCAACTGACCCTGTATATAATCAAGTCTGTAGATAGCTGACCCTGTGCTCTGCTGGAAATTGAAAACAAAATTTCCACACAGGGATCAACAAAGGGCCACAGTGTTATTATCATTAACAACACCAATAACAGACCTTAATGGACCTCAATTATGTGAAAAATTTCAGAATTACAGTCAAAAAACCTGAATAAAAAGCAAACAGTTGGATAATTTGCCAGTGTAGCTTGTAAAAAAGCTACAATAAATCGCATATCAAAGTATACTGTATGCTTCAGATGTAAGCTGATGCAACATGGAAGACATACACACAGAACTATTACATAAAGCATAACGATATGTTTTTGACTGAAAAGACTAAAGAGGCTCACAGTTCCTTACAGTATAGCTGTTCATAAGGTTGTGCTGATTATGTCAAAAGTCTTTCTTTTATCTGTCAGCAGAGAAGAGAGGGAAAGAAAAAGGAGAAGAGCACTCGCCAACTGCAGCATAAAAATAATAGGGAATATATTAAAATAGCATCAATACACACAATCAGATATTGTTAGGAAAACCAAGAGTGTAAAATGATGAGGCATCTCAACATGTCTTGACAAGCTCTCTGTCTCTCTCACCTTTCTGTCAGTAGAAATGGAAGCTGAAAGCACCACGGAGTTTTGTGTGTGTGTGTGTGTGTGTGTGTGTGTGTGTGTGTGTGTGTGTGTGTGTGTGTGTGTGTCTACAGGAACAAAATAATAGGTAAGAAAAAAAAAATGCTGTGAGACAGCTGTTCTGCCATGCTCAGATAAACACTGCAGATTCCTCTTCATTGTGGGTGTCAGTGGCAGTTCACTTCTGGGGCAGATGTTATCAAGTTATTCAAATATGAAAACTTCATCAGAAACCAGGACTCAGTCCTGACCCTAACCTTAACATTAAAATGAATCATTGGCAGTCTTCAAAGAGTGTAAAACTTGACTTTGCCGAAGTGTAAAACCTGAAGTGTTGGATAATCAGCCTCTTTTTTTTTTCCTGGTGTAGGCAGATGCATCTCTTGGTAAAAGCCACCATGTCAGTGGTAGTAAAGAGGAGGGACCACATCAAATACAGTCCACCAACCATCAACCGTTTGTGTTTATGTTTTCACAGTCTGACGGCCACCACACATGCTCCTGCCCTGCCCAGACAAAGAGGTGCAACCTGAAAGAAAAAAAACCTCTCAGTCAAAGCTGGAAATTAACAGGTAAAACGATGGAAAACTGTATAAAGTAATGTTTCCTCCTGCATTGGAGGATTACATTGGAGTTAGGAAATTTCTACAATATTTGTGGATGTGATCTTTTTAAACTTATCAGATACTGCTATGTTGAAATTAGTTTTCATCTGCTCCCTAAAAACCAAGTTTCACCACCTTAAAAACAGTAGTAAAATTCTGAGGATTTATATCCAGGCAGGATTTAGAGAGACTAACCCATGCTTTCATTTCCAGTAGTTTAGATCACTGTAATGGTCTTTTCTCAAATCTCCCCAAAAAACCCACCCAGACCCAGAAAGCTGCAGCGAGAAAACAAACAAAGGTCTCTTCACTGTCAGAAAACCGGGTTTAAACTGTAATTTTTGCAGTTTTTAATGAATTATGTGAAGCAGTTTGAATTGTATTTGTGAATGACATGAGCTATAGAAAATATATGTGCCTTGTCTTGCCTTTGTTCCTGAAATGTTGCCATTTTAGAAATACAATACTATGTGAGGTGTGAGGGACAGGGGCATGTCGATATTCTGACAGCTGGAAGTTACTGTAGTTTTGTTCTGCTAATTTGGGCCAATTACCAACACAGTCAGCAGCTGCAGTGACACAGCTTGTAGAGGAAATTAAGGGAACTTCAAGTGGCAAAATGAGGCAATTTGATACCAACATCATTGTAGCCTGAAACTATAAGAGCTAAACCAAATTTTGGAAATCTGATGAATGGGACCTTGAGCTGGTTTTTACCTTGTCTCAAGTGACTCACTGTGGGTTAAGTTTGTGGTTGTATAAAAAAAAATGTAAACTAATTACAAAATGTGACCTGCACCACACAGACTGGAGGAATCGCAACAACAGAAGAGAATGGTGGAGAAGTTTAGCAAGGTGAACCTGAAGGCAACTGAGGCCTCCTGATGAATTACACCACACATAGCAAAGGTGGGGCTCTGTAGTAGTAGTATGGCAACATTATATTTATATCTTATATATACATATATTATAGGGAGGGGTGTGGGAGGGCAGCGGTTGCTGAGGTGAGGGATAGAGGGTGGAGTATGCTTTGGAAATCCCTGGTCTATACCAGTGGCTCCTAACCTTTTTGGCTTGTGGACCACTAAAACAAAGTTACATCTAGTTGTGACCCCTCATCACAGACTGCAAATGTTCATGGGTTGTGAGCAGTTTAACTTCAGAGTAAAAGAGTGATTCTTCCTTCTCAGATTGTTTCATTTGAAATTCTTTTCGAGGCCAAGATAAGTGAAATTATTCAGATATTCACAAGAAAGTGTAGCAGAAATATGCTATTCCTGCTTTGCATCATGTTGTGACCACTCAGATTTTATCTTGCCACCTCTTGGAGGCAGTTGAGAACCACAAGTCTCTAAGACTTAATTATATGTTTTGCTTGTCTTCTCTCAAAACAACAACATTGTGCATCCATCCACAGGCACCGATGTGAACCAGAATGTGAGGATTTATAGAGGAGGCACCAAATTATTTTTGTCCTAAGTGAATCACTCGTGTCTTTTGAGGTTGTTTGCCTTGTTTTGTTTCGTATCTGCGGCTTCTACACAGACAGTTCGAGCTGTCAGTCACCTAATTTTAAACATAAACTCACCACGAATGTTATGTGTCTTGGAAGTAAAAAAGATTGACAGATTTGTGCTAAAGCAGGCAGAGGGAGTGATGCCACTTGGACAGGATAGACAACACATCTGTTTGTTTGTTTGTTTCAGTTTTTGACAATGAACAAAGGACACATTTAATGGTCTCAACATGTCCCTCACATCTCAGTTTGTCCTCATCCCTCTGTGCAAGTTTGAATGTTCCCTGTATTCTGTATCCGCCCACCTACACCCCTCTTGTTCTCAGCATGGTGCATTTCTGTGAAATGGCAGATTTCCAGCGACTTTGGTTGGAAATCCTCTGAGACTGTGCAGGAGATGGGGTATAAACTGAAGTGTGATAGACTTCAGCCGAATGAGATCGTTCAACTTTGAAATGGTCCCCTCTATCTCCTACTGCTGCCGCCACAAGGACAATATAATATATACATGCAAGGTCAAACTGTGACTGTGTTTATATAACAATTCTATTAGTGTACATCATGATTTATTTTTTTGTTTTTATTGAACTAAAGTATCAGTGTATATATAAGTGCAAACATCTAAATCTGTCTATATGAGAATAAAGGCTTATTGCACAAACTGCCCAGACTCCATGCTTCTAGATATATAAATAGTGTGTGTGTGTGTGTTTGTGTGTGTGTGCGCATGTGCATGTATGTGCCATTGTATTTATTTGTGTTTGAGTTTTTACCTGTGTCCACTCATTTGTCTGAGGGTCGTAAGCTTCTACAGTATTGAGATACACCTGACCGTCATAACCACCCACAGCATAGAGACGGTCGCCAAGGAGACAAACACCAACAGCATCTCTGCTGATGCTCATGGGGGCTACTGCCGTCCACACATCTGTCTGAGGGTCATACCTGTATACACACACACAAACATTTACATGGGTTCACACACACAACACATTAACACATTAAAGCAACATACAGCGTTTTAATCAGCGTGCTTTAGAGGTGCAGGTTGGTGCATTTTTTGGACTTTGGACAGAGCCAGGCTAGCCATTTCCAGTCGTAATACTGACAGAGTGGTATTTGGCACGAGAGTGAGTAAGCATATTTAACAAAACGCTGAACTATTCCTCTGGACTTTGGTGTCCCCAAGTGGTAATATCAAAAATGACAGACAGCGATGTTCGCTGCTACCTCCTACCTACAGGTTGACAATCTAATTACTCAGATTTTATATACAGGAACTTCAAAAACAGAAACAGCCTTCGTCTAAAAGACATATAAACTACAACACAAATCACATAAAAATCTTATACATATTATTACAACACACAGTAAATTGTGCACTGTAAATTTCACATTTCAAACACATATATATGTGATACATCTGTTACACCTCCTTAATCAAACGTTAATAAACACATACATGCATAAATGTTGACTCACCTCTCCACACAGTCACTCAACCGAGATGCCAAGGATGAGGCCGGAGCATCGTGACCTCCGATAGCATACAAGAAGCCGTGCCATGTGGCCACACCCACACCTCCACGTCTTTTAGCCATAGGAGCACAACCACTCCACCTGTAGACGGAAGGTTGTAAATCTCACAACCAACTTTCACACTTTCTCCAACACTGAGGAAAGCCTCACAAATGGACCAGCTCAAAATCCTCCAAAATGTGCTTTTTTTTTAAAGATTATTTTCCAGGCACCAATGAGAACCTCCTCTCAGCTGCTCAAGCGGAGCCCATAATGAGTGCACTCGATAAACAGAAGTTGTTTGAATGTGGTCTATTCTAACGGCCTGAGAGGGTTAGCTGTCTCCTTTGATCTGTGGGTAAATAACCTTAAAAGCACAGAGGCAGTTCACTAGTAAGAACAGCAGACAGGAAATAAAGCAGGAGACGGCAATTAATTCTGGTCAAATGAAGTCCCTCGTCTCTGACCTGTTGGTGTGGGGGTCGAAACACTCCACTGAACGCAGGCAGGATGAGCCATCACGACCTCCTACTGCATACAACCTGAGGAAGACAGAAGAAGGTGTTATCTCTATGGACATACATACAAAAGAACACCTGCCACACAAAACACCACACACATTTCTGGACTCCCTTTTCAATTTAGTGACACTTACACAGATGGTAAAAAGGTGTGTTTGTGTTTGTGTGTGTGTGTGTGTGTGTGTGTGTGTGTGTGTATGTGCGTGTATGTGTGTGTATGTGTGTGTGTGTGTGTGTGTGTGTGTGTGTGTGTGTGTGTGTGTTGCCCAGGATTTTTGGGGGACAAAGTGAGGTGAGTAAAATCAATCAGCCAACACTCTTGGGGCATCACAACCCCAAGCAGTCACTCAGTGTGTGTGTGTGTGTGTGTGTGTGTGTGTGTGTGTGTGTGTGTGCATGCACGCGCGCGTGTCTGTGTACGTGTGCACACATCCATGGATATGGAGTTGGGAGGGTGAAGAAAAAAAGTGCATCAGAACCAGTCGAGCAAGTAATGAGCTCCATCAGGCAAAGCGCCCAGAGAATACACAACACATACATGCACACCCACAAACACATGCAGCCATGCACACACACGACTGCTGGGCATGGATAACACAAACCAGTTGTTTCTGTATTAATTAGCATCTATAAAGCATTTCTCTGTACTGTCTCTCTGAGGCACTAAAATAATAAAAACAACGGCACAATATTGCGATTTTAATAACTACTGTCGGCTGCAGGAGAATTCTGGGGCAAATGAGGAGATTCAAGCCATGAATGTATCAAATCCCACTATTAATACACTCAGTTAGCAGTACACTTAGGTACACTTAGCTAAAGCTAATGTAGTCCTGCAACCTGCTTCATGAAGGTTGTTATTTTCAGTTTTATTGAAATGGTTTTAGAGAGATGTTAATTCAACTGTATGATAATTGAGGAGGCTGCAGTTTGTGGTGCTGTGTTCAGCACCATTATTACATTATTCAGAAAGTTGTTTTTGTTATTTAGCCTATCCTCAGTGATATAAATTGGATAGACAAAATAATATAAACACCTGTTAGTGCCTCCAAGATGACCACAAAGATGAATCAACACCTCTCTAATACAGTTTCAACACAAATTGAACATTATAATGTACATGATGGGAGAATTTAATATAGGACTGTTGTACTAGATTGCATTAGTTTTAGCTAGATGCACTGGATTTTGCCTATTGATTTGCTATTTTTATGGCATACAGGGGCAATGTACTATAATGTGACACAAGGTTGCACAGAATCTATATTGGTACAGATATACAGTAAAAATGATGCTCTGTCTGAGTACAGTAATTCTTGTAGAATATATAGTACATGCAACATTAACTGACATTAATTTGGCAAATGCTTTTGTCCAGAGTGGATCACAGTAAATGGATTTAGCATATGAAGAAGAGCAAGACATCATAAAAAAAACTTGGGTGTTTCAGTGCTTCAGGTAATGCACTAAAAATGTATCTTTAACTTGGATGTAGTGTCGATTCATGAAGCTATACATATGTGAACTTGTGTGCTCACTTACTTGCCATTGAGTACAGCTACTCCCACAGTGCTTCTGGGTGTAGCCATACTTGCAACAAAGCTCCACTGTCGGGCTTGGGGGTCCCACCTAGTAAAAAGAGTAAAACAATTTCTCAGTCTTACTGTGGAGCAGAACAGTTACAGTTAGTCTACTGATCCATTAGTAAATCGACAAAATTAATTTGTAACTATTTTGATAATTGATTAATTGTTTTGGGTAATTCTTTGAGAAAAAAAGACAAATTTATCTGGATCCATGTGAATATTAGTTGGTTTCCTTAGTTTTCTGCAACTGTAAACTGAATATCTTGGATCTTTTGTCTTTTAGTTGGACAAAACAACACACGTTTAAGACGTCACCTTAAACTCTGGAAAACTATTTTCTGACATGATATAAAAAAAAACTGATTAATTGAGAAAGCCATTGACACATTTATCAATAATGAAAATAATCATTAGTTAAAGCCCTGTTATGGAGCATGGCTAACCTGAACCTCTACAGATTTTCAAATAAATTGTAAAATACAGTATCCAGTGGGGTTAAGAGATTGCATTTTCGCAGCTGCACCATTGAGCAGCAACATTTCCTTCTCAAAACGGTGTCCCCTTTTCTCCAGCTGTGGGAAATATCCTCTCACCTTTCCACTGTGCTGAGGTAGCTCCAGCCATCATGTCCTCCTACCGCGTACATGGGCCCCTCTAGGACAGCTACACCTGCAATACACAAACACATGTACATGATTAACTCATGGCAGCTTACCAAAACAATATCAGCTCGGACACGTATAGGATAAGGGGTGTGAGTTTTTATTGTGTGTGCAGCCACACCCAGGGCATTAAGCATGCGGAGTTAGCAGCATGTTGACACTTCCATACTCAAGGGATTTATATGCCAGAACATCTGTGCTGCCAGATGTGTGTTTGAATCCTTGCGTCCCTTCACACACATGCACACATTTATAAAAAACAATGAAGCACCAGCACAGCACGCTTCGTCAAATGTGGTCATCGGAATAGTCGGCTTCACAATGAGAGGGGGGACAGTCCTTAATACAAGACACACAGGTTAAATCCACTCTGATGAAGCGTCCTTGAGCATGACATTGAATCACTTATTATCTGGTGGTGAGGTGCAGTTCTGTTGCTGAAAATAACCTCTGAATTAATTGTGAAAAAATATATTTTCTAGCAGGGATCAATAAAATATCACAAAAAATCAAGTAACTGTGTATTTGTCTCTAAAATTGTACTTACATAATGCCATGCTCAAAATTCAAATACCTTAATCAATCTTCTTACAAATATCTTCCCTATTACCAGCCAGAACTGATACTAAAACTAATTTAATAAATTTGGGGCTGAACTTTCCAAGACAATTTCACATTGTATGTAAATCACATTTGTGCTCTAACCAAGGTGCTCACCTAAGCCATGCCTGTGTGTGGACATGGGAGGCATGACGCTCCAGGTTTTGCTGTGCGGGTTGTAACACTCCACAGTGTTGAGGGTCTTGAGTCCGTCTCGGCCCCCCACCACATAGAGACGGCCGTCAAGGACAGCTACACCAAACTGAAGTCTCCGTCCACTCATGGTGGCTACCTGCCGCCACGTGTCCCGACGCAGACAGTACTGCTCAATACTGGTAGCACCTGGAAAACACATGAACATGTAAAGTGAAGGGGGATTACGCTGCTCTCTAATTTAGAGGTTTGATTCAACTGTATGGTAATTCTGGCAGCTGCAGTGTGATGCACTGTTTAATCTCTCTAGAACAAAAAATTAACATTATAACCTTCATGAAAGGAGGATTTATCGCAGGACTTTTTATTAGACTGCATTGGTTATTGCTAGGTGTATCTAATAAACTGGCTAAGTAGAGTTTAGTGACTGTTATACCTTTCGTAGCATCCATGCCACCCACAGCGAACATGGCCCCTACAGTAGCTTTGCGAGGACGGGTGCGAGGGCTCTGCAGCAGGGGCCGACGCTGGGGCAAGAGGTGATACTTCATCCCCTCCATCAGCAGCCGCTGGCACTCCACACTGTCGCGGAGCAGAGGGTTGGACTCTAGGTCTGCCAAGAACTACACACACATAAAAGAAATGTGCACATGAACGCACAGGGACACGTGGCAGCTGCTGTCAACAAGCAGCTGAAACAAATGCAGGGTATGTGTGTACAGTGGGTGTAGGCCAGTGTGGGTTACAACGTTATCGCTGATTATGGAGGTCTGAGGGTCGAAAGAAAGCTGTTCTCTCATTGATTGAGAGATTAGATCAGATCAGACCAGCTGCTATTAGTGCTCTCTCACACACACACACACACACACACACACACACAGATCATCTGACACACTAGAAAACTAATCAAACCTCTCATCAGTTTTCTAGTCCATACCCTCTAACCTCATCTATGACCACACACACACACACACACACACACACACACACACACACACACACACACACACACACACACACACATATATATATACACATAGCGACAGCTATGAAGCACTTTAATCCACCAGTCTGTTCCTTAAAATATATCCACAGGAAATGCGTGCAAGTGAGAGAGGCAGGGTGGTGAGAAGCAACTTTTCCCTAAGGGTAAGAAGGCAAGAATTGCATGATTTACATTTAGATAGGTGTGTGTTTGTGACTGTTTGTGTACGTGTGTGTGTTAATAGATGAAATGCAGTAGAGTTCCAGAGAGACCTGATTTTTTAAAAATAAAATTCATTTGAAGTTTCCCAACTATGTGCACAGCTGCATCCTTGTGTGTGATGAAGTGAGTGGAGACATTCAGAAATATATATATATATGTATAGGATATATGATGATGAAAAAAAAAGTTATTTTTACACTCTCATTTTCGTCTGTGCTGTCCCCCATAATTCCCACCCTACCACAAAAAAGAAAGATTCGGCCAAAATAATTCAACTTGGTCACTGAATGTAAAATCAATTTTCTCAGCCAGACGTGGAGAGCGTAAAGCAAGCATGCTAAATGGATAAGCAGCTTACACGCCAGGGTGAACCCACACTTCCACTGCATACAATCACAGAGGGACAAATTAGGGTGAACCCTATTTCAGCATTCATTTGTGTGTGTGTGTGTGTGATAAAGACGGACAGAGATAGAAAACCGTGTTTGCCCTCTGCTGTGCTATTTATCCATCACGCTGTGATGATTGAATGTGGAGGGTGAGATAAGATTGAGTTCTGCAGGCGTCCCGTCTTCTCCTCTCTGTCCTCTCTTTAGCTCACAGTGGATGGAGAGACCGTTGTGCTGCCCTCTCTGTTTCAGTTCACGCTTGACATAAGAGGCAGAAATGGTCTCTGTCCACTTATAGCATACACTCACTCCCATACACATAGAAACATACCTTACTCCTCTCTCATTTCCCTTACAAGACATGCTCTTGCTAGCACCTCTCTGTCTGGACCAGAGGATGAATCCTAATGACTTTAGTGATCCCATCATGTTTCCTCTAACACCACCATGGGTTTGATGTTTGTAGTTTGGAGTGAAGACACCCACACACACACTTAAGCTGCAGTTATTGCTTCCATAAAAATTGCTTGTTAAAGGTAAGAAAGTAAGCAGGGCTTGAACTTCTCTCTTAAACTCTCTCATTCTTTTATCAACATTCCCTGTCAATTTTTCTGCGTACAAACGAGTGCGACATTATAAATATCTACCAGGAGAGAAAATATAATGTGCTGTTATCCCAATATTTCCTTGATGGTCAGCTTTTCACTCTGTGTTAAAGTGTGGCCGCTGGGAACACACACTGGATTTCAGTCGGACAGCATGTTAAGCAAACTAATTATTTTCTGAGAACCTTACTACCCTGTATATATGCAACTGTTTGGTACACACTGTCCGATTTACAGCCGCAGATGCTCTTCTGAGAAGATTAGACCACTGTGTGTTTGTAACAGTGGTAATGGGGAACAGGGATTAAAGGCATTAATCTAGTGAATTGACATCCACTTGATGAGTAATCACATGGTGCCCTAGATCTGGCTAATTGGTTGATGAATATTGATCAGTTGTCTGTGTGAGGTTTCAATGTTGTTTTATTGGCATGTCACAGCTCATGAGGTTGCTGATTGTTAATTCATTTGTCAGTTAAGCATTGTGGTGGTAATACATTGTTAAAAGATGAATAAACCCTTAGTTCTACGTTTTTTGCTTTTGCTCTTTCTCCTTTGTCACTCTTCCACTGCTTTACCTTTCTGCCATCCATCTTCGCCCTGATTACATGTTACAGCTACTTGTGATTTCAGCTGACCAGGGCAAAGTCATATATCTGAGGTGTTCAGTGCAAAAACAAGATGTATAGATGCAGGCAGAGAGAATGGAAAGAGAAAGGAAGGGCCACAAAAGGACTTTTATCTCTACACTTTCTTTACATATAGTGAGGGAAATGACTGATGAGGGAGATGAAGAGAACAGATAATTTGGCTGCAGTTAAGAGACATATCACACTTAATTAAGGTTTAAAACGTGTGTGTGAATGTGCATTTGTGTGAGTGTGTGTGTGTGCATCCAAAGCCCTAGGCAGTAACTGGTTTATATGCTAGATTCTGCCTAGCATATAAACCTCTCTGCATCACATTACCAGTCAGATACTCTGCTACACTTGCTAGAAAGAGGAGAGAGTGGAGGAGGAAAAGCGTGGAGATACATGCACACACACTCAGATACACACATGTGCACAGAGAACAAACACAAGCACACACCTGACAGAGTAATGGTTGTGATCTACAGTTAGCGTAATGGCTATAGTCCCTCTAATTGCCTAAAGAGGATAGTGAGACAGATTGGAGCCAGGAAGAGGGAGAGAAGGAGAGTGAGGGAGAGAGAGTGCTAGACAAATTTGACCATAAAAAACAGCCAGATCATCAGGAAGAAGACTGACACAAACTCTTGATTAGTACTTTGCTGCGAAAGATGTGAAGACATGAGCAACTCTGACAAAGCTCCAACAACAGTTACTGAATTTGGTTAAGTTCTAGTTTCAAAATGTGTTGATTGATGATGGAAAGAAAAATGGATGACACCTTCATAATCATAGTAGATATATAATGTGCTCTTGCGAATGTAATTTATCTTTTCACCGTCTCTTCTCAGCAATATATAGAATCATTATTACCAATTCAACTGATTTACAAGAGTGAGAGAGAAAAAGAGAAAAGAGGAAAAATACTGGAAAATGGAAAAGACAGAACAGAGAGCAGCTGATAATATAGTGACACGTAAAACTGTACACAGTCGTTTTAGTTTGTACATTCTTTTAAATTGTAAAGATATTTATAGTTATTTATTAATGCATCTATCACCTATTCCACATATCCATATTACTATCTTATCATTATCAATAAAGATGCCCTAGATCAATAGAGCTGATCAGTTTCAGTTGACTGACAGCAGTGGAGTGGGTCTCAGCCATGTCCTGACCCATCCACATGAATACTGTTTCTTTGTCAATGTCATTTTAAAATCCAGTGTTTCAAATCCTCTCCTCTTGTCGCCTGCATAAAAATGAATTTGACGCAGTGAGATATACAGATTTAAAATCTGAGAAAAGAGAGACCTGATATTGAGTCAGTGCTCAGTTCAGATGGATCCACTGAGTTCAGATTTTGGAGTTGCTATTGGAAGAGAAAATGCTGTCTATTAAAAAATTATTAAAAAAGACAGTTATATTATTAAACAAGACAGTTATAATACGTTATGTGACAGCTCTCACCTGTGGCTGCAGCAGTGGCAGTCGGATGTGAGCCAGCAGCAAAGGCAGGTGGCGTTGCCGGGTGGCAGAGTCATGACGGACCCATGTTAGCAAAGATGTTACCACGGTTTCCTCATCTGGCACGTTGATGTCATCAGAAGTGAGCAGCCTCTCCATCTCCTCCACTGGGAGCAGCAGGAACTCCTGACCTCCCACCACCTCTAAGAAGTGATCCTGGTGGACAGAGAGAGAGAGAGTAAAACAGAACGACGGATGAAATCGTAGTAAGAGTAGAGAAGTAAGGACAGATTGGTTTTTAAAGAGTAAGGATGAATAAATAATGTATTGCACAAGAAAGAGGGGAATGAGAAGTGGAAAAACAATAGGGAGGATTTAGAGTGGAGACGGAGATCAAGGGTTGGCAGGAGGCAAGGAAAGAGAAAAAAAGAGGAGGAAAATGAGGGCTTGCTAAAGGTCAGAGAAAGATGGATGGGAAAAGCTGGAGAAAAAAAAGGGTGAGATGAGTCAGTGGTATAAGATGGGGAGGTTGTTTGAGACGTAGAGAGAAGGGCTGCAACTAACAATCATTTCAATATTGTTTAATCTGCCGATATATTCTAAATTAATCAATTAATTATTTGGCCTTTAAAATGTCAGATGTCGTCGAAACGTCATGAAGCACAAGGTGACTTCTTCAAAGTGCTGTTTTTGTCTTACAAATAGTCTCAAATCCAAATAGACATGCAATTAATTACAATTAATTATTAAAATTGTTGCATGTTAATTTTCTGTTGTTGAACTAATCATTTCCGCTCTAGTAGTGATTGAATTTGGATAGAATTCAGGGGTAGAAACTAAAATTAGATACTCTGTGTTTCTATGCTAACCAATATAGAAACACCACTTGCCCTCAGTGATAGCCCACATTGTGCTTGTTAATTGTGCGTGACCGTATAGTTTGCCATAGCTATTACAGACATTATATCTCATTTGTGTGTGTTTTTTTTAAAGTTAGAAAAGGGGAATAAAAACATGTAAACGTGACCTGCTTCACACATAAACAAAACCTTTGAAATAAAAAAAAGAGAATTGAAAACACTCAAGTTCTCTCTACCAAGTCAGTCTTTTGTGAAGCTCTGTCATAATCCTGAGTTTTTATGTGTGTGGGAATATGTGTGTGTAAATGAGTTACAGACACAGGCAGACAGTCACACCCAGATAAAGCCACCTCTATGACATAATTACCCGAGATTAAAGTTTAACAATAATCCACTTAGAGGGAGAGAAAGAGAGGAGCGGTGACACTGACAGAGACAGACACACAGAGGGAGGCTGGGTGAAGAAAAAGGCATGTAAAGACAGGAGAGAACAAGAAAAGAAAAGAATAATCAAGTCGAAGGAGCTATTTCATCGTCACCATAGCAACCCTTTGCTGAAAACAGCCATCGTGGCGGTAATGGTGTGTGGTGCGTTGTGAACGAGGAACCAATTTGTTACCAAAAATAACATCAAGGCTGGAAAATGAATGATAGAGGTGGAGAAGAACAGTTGTTTAAGGTGAAAGAAAACCTGAATATTGTTCTTACATTCAGCACCTTACATTAGAACCTAAATATCACCTGTAGTCTACCTGTGTCTACAGTACATCAATATTTTCAGATCTATATTCCTCCAAGCTGCTCTTTCATTCATTTTCTTGTGGTGGCTCTACAAGCACAGGAGGTATAGATATAAACTGGCCATGTACCCACCATGGTGTAGGCGTGAGCAGCCCTCTGCAGGTCATGGCAGCCCTGAGCGTCGGCGTAGGAGCGGATGCCCAGACAGTTGGAGGGGTGGAGCTGCTTCATGAGGAAGGAGCAGCAGGCCTGAACCACAGACGACAGCTGCAGCAGGCAAGAGGCTGACAGCAAAGACTCAATAGTGTCCTCCCTCAACTCGAGACGGCCTGGACGAGGGCGGGAGATAGAGAGATAGAGAGATAGAGAGAGAGAGAGAGAGGGCAATAGAGAGAGAGAGGGAGATAGATAGAGAGAGAGAGAGAGAGGGAGAAAGAGAGAGAGAGAGAGAGAGGGAGAGAGAGAGAAGGGATGAAGAAGACAGATAAAGAAAAACAAGATATCAGAAAAGGGGCTGTGTATTAAAAATTGTCTAAGATTTATAATTTAAGAGATTTTGAGATCAATAGTAACACCGTCATCAATTCAAGCAAATGGTCGCAAAATGTATACAATTTTTTCATACAACTGAGACCAAAATGAATGCATTAAGTTTGCATGGAAAATATGATGGTTTCTGCTGATGGCTTCCTGGAGGTGTTAGCCATTAATAGCAGATTCAGAACCTACAATCCCATAAACAAAACCAGCCAACTAATAACTAATAAGGCATACATGTGTATGTACCTGTATATGCATACTGCACCAGCACCCACAATGCATCAGGGTCTACTCCCTCCATCTTCACTTCGTCCTGCTTAGCCTCCCGCACATCACTTGTGAACATGGCCGCAAAGTAGTCCGATACGGATGAGAGGACCAGCCTGTGAGAGGAGAGTGTCAGGCTTCAGTCAGAGAGGACGGACAGCTCTAATTGAAGAACAGAGTACTCTGACCTTGCTGACAGGATGAGTCTGGACTGTCAGGGAAAAGATGCAGAACGGAGGCGGAAAGGGCATTCTGGACATGATGACACAACCAGACAACACACAGCATTCATCCCATATCATCCTGTTTGTGTGTTGGTCAGATAGCTTTGGTATCTTCTCCCACACCATTCCAACATCAGATAAGACCATTTCTGTAATTTCCAGAAAACGATGATTCACTCACATGTTACACCATGATTGGTGAGCTCTGCAGAGGTCAGACACAAGCCTCGGGTTGAACCTCTCTCTAACTCAATTTTTTCATTTGTTGCCAGGGTTGCACAATTCAATCGCAATATGGCCAAGTGCAATATCCAAATCACAGGAGCTGCTAAAAAATCACAGGTGCTGCAATTTTTTCATAGTAAAAATGTGTCCAAACATTGTTGTCCATTGTTAGCACCATAAGCGTTATGGTGCTACAGAGACGCCTTGGCCTACAAATCCAATTCTCCAGATGTGAAGGAACATGTTTGTTTGGTACATGACCCAGCAAAAATCACATCATCATCATTTCTATATTTTTTTCTGTTGAAATAAAATTTTCCGCCTTCTATCTCTCCATACAACAACAAGGGGCTGAAAAACAGTAAGTAAATGGACTGTAATTATTACAACTGTAGAGGTTAAAATAATCCTACATGCATGCAGACCAGACAGGATTAAATTGCTCATTAGTGCAAGTAATATTTAAGTCACTCGATTTCCCCTAAAGAAATAAATCCCATCAGAATGGGACTCGCACCATCTATATTCCTCTCTGAAGAGATGTTATTAGAGGTGGAAGAAAGCTGTGCAAACAAAAGCTTTGCATGAGCCTTAGGCATCTCCAGATGTTTGTACACACTGAGCATATTGAGGATAAAGAGCTTGATGTCCTCAGACGTTTAAACTGCCTGACAGTCTAACTGCAGTGGCTCATGTTTCCCCTTAAAAGTAGTGAAAATTACATTTTTAAAACCTAACATAGATTTTCAAAACTTGTGACATAAAAGAGACTAACATGAGCTCATTTGTTTGTGCACAGTTATTTATCTTTGAAACCAGTGCCGCATTGGGGGGGTCTCTGAATTATGTGATATTAAACTGATATCTGGAAAAGACATTGGAAGACATCACCAAGCTGTTGCAAAATGTACACAGAGTTGCCAGCCATTTGCCAGCACATTAACATACTAACAATGCAGTAACGCATCTCCTGACTCCTTACATGTGACTTGTTATTTTGAATTCACAGCAATGTCCACAGAAAACAATATAAAGGAAGACACAGTCCCAGTCAGATCAAGTCCTGGCATGCACTATAAAAGACCAAAAGCCAGTCCCTGCAGTCAGACAGGAGATTATTCAATTTGCATCTGTCAGTCACAGCAGATGAGCTCATGGAGGAAGAAAGAGAGAGAAAGGAAAATGTTTAATGTAAGGTCAATGTAAAATTTAGAGGTGAGTGAGTGTGAGAAAAAGATACATGGAGTAATGTTCAGTGAAGCGGATGAAGGACGGAGAGGTTTTATCTTAAGGTCACTTGTTACTTAATTCTCCACCACAACAATCCATTACCCTTTCATGTCACCATGAAGTTCATCACACACACATACACATCAAGGTATTAAAAAAGCCAGAAAGGAACTGTTATTTAATATTTCATGTACAGTATTTTTCATCCCTTGCACTTGGAGATGTCTTTGTAACTGACTGTCTGAGGGATATATACTATAGACCTGTACTGCAGGGTTCAGTATTTTTGATGTCCAGTGCTAAATATGACTTATGATAAGTAAATTGAGCAAGATCAAGCACACATTAAAGTTCTGTTTGATGCCCATATTAACAGATTTTACATGTTCAAATGGTCTTTCTGCTTTAACTGTTGTATGTCGTTTGGTGACTTGAATATGTGTGTGTGTGCACGTGTGTGCACGTGTGTGCATGTGTGTGTGTGTGTGCACTGAATATGTATGAGTTATGTACATGTGTATAATCTCATTACTGAGTGTGACACCGGGACCTTGACAGATAGCCTGAAGCACAGATGAGTAGTGTGTGTGTGTATGTGTGTTTTACAGAGAAAGACGTCAAAGATGTGTTGCTGCGAGGAAGTCATAGAGCATACAGCAGTGGGTTATTTACACACAAACACAAATGCAGTGTGCTGGAGACAGAGACATGGCAGACAGTGTGCCACACTATAATGGAAAGAGCTGAGAGTAGACAAAATGCCAGAGTGAGGAGAGCAGGAAACAGATGAGTTGGACTCAGGAAAGGAGGGCAAGAGCTGGAAACTGAACACTATGTCTGTTTGAGTGTGGAAGTGCTGCTTGGTACAGAGATACAATAGTGGAAAAACAGAGTGGGTAAAAACAACAGGAGGGGATGGTAGGAAAAACTTACCTCACTATTGTGACTTAAACAGAGGTATAGGAGATGTACACTTTTAGTCATGCTAATAGCGTGGCTGAAACATGGCAACGTGTTGGTCTGGGAATTAGTCGTTCCGCCCCTTTGGTCCACACTGAGATATCTTAACAAACTTTGCAAGAGGATGAATCTATTGAGTTTAGTAATCCACTGACTTTTCATCTAACACTACCAGCAGGTCACAGTCACAATCAAAAAAACACCTATGACAACTGCAGTTCTCACCAACCGTCACGTTCTAGTCAGTGTTCTCAGTACTCTGGCCTCAGGCAGCAATAATGAGCCCATTATGGTTTAGTGCATCACAACAAGCGAAGAAGACTCACACGACATAAGAAAACTTACTTGGACAAGTGACACAAAGGTGAAATTTATGCTTTTATACAGTATTTTTCAGTTTTCAAGAGAAAAGACTTCAAGGATGAAGACTAACTCATTGTTTTGGTACGTCTGGTTAACAGCTCCACCTCCACTAAAGAGCAACGCTAAGCTGTTTCCCTGAGCTTTCCTATGGGACCCTCTGGGATTGTCTCTCATGCGATGGATTAGACTGTCCAGAGCAGGGCTAAAATGGCTGTACGCTTAGTCTTGTTGTACTAAAATGAACCATGGTGTGCACTTAATGGGCCCCAGAAGCATATCTATCGATCTACAATAATCGTACACAGAAGTTTCTCAACGAACATTAACTAAAATCATTGAAGGTAGCACTCTTACAGAGGTGTCCAGATGGGGCTACAAAAATAGATCTGCAAGATAATATATTTTTATAGGGTACAGCCCCAGAGACAAAAAGGTATAATTGGGCTCTACTTTTTTTTTTTAAGTACATACAGAGCCTGAGTTTTGCTCAAAGTGTGCTGCTTGCAACAAACTCTGGAAGAAACAAGCAGTTATACTATACACACAATACAAGTGGCTTATTCAGCATGTATGGTGTATTTGTTTGTGTGACGGAGAGAGACGGAGAAAGACGGAGGGTAAGAAGGTGTATGTTTTGTTCCCAGAAAAGCACTTTCATCCTACACATACAATAAATCAATTGCAAACAAAACAAGTACTTTCAAGCAAAGATGTCTAACTCCCACCCTCTTGCTGGCACGCACAAACACACACTCAACACACATCCACACAACTTCAGACATCGACACACTCTTTCACATACACCATTAGGATTCTCATACAGCAGCGTCTTTTGTTTGTCACCATCTGTGCCTGGAGGACTAAATCAAATGAGGCAGAAGAGGAAGGCAGTGAGAGAAAAGGAGTCTTTCTGCTGGTGGAGGGCCGCTCTTCTGTCTCATCCCTGTGCAGATGGACCCTGCTGCTGCACCAGTGGCCACATGCCCAGAGAGCGACAGCGACAGAGCAGAGTGTAGGGGCTTGTGTGGGGCTATGAGGTGGATGACAGACACGTGTGTGTGTGTGTGTTTGATGCATGATTCAGAGGCTCACTTGACTATGTGTGATACAGAGAGACTACAAAAATAAAAGGGGACTTCTATGAGCGTGTCTGTGGTTCTGTTGAGTATGTGAAAGTTTCTTTCCAAACAGTATGCTGTGTGTTCATATGTGTATGGAAACTGTGTTGAGGTGTTGTGGTATATGTGTAAGCACTTCATGCAAGAGTTACAGCTAATGTTTCTGCAAGTGCGTGAGTGGTTAAAAAAAAAAAAAAAAATTGACGTACATGTTGGATTTAAGGCTGCCACTGATGATTATTTTCATTATCGATTGATCCGCTGATTTACTTTTCTAAATAATCTATTTATATACTGTTTATACAATGTAATCAAAAAGATAAGATTTGCAATGATATGAAAGAGACAAAGATAGCAAATCCTTTAAAGAAGCTAAAATCAGCATATGTTTGACATTTTTGCTTTAAAAGTGACTGAAACGATTAACTATCAAAAACTGGTGCAAATTAATTTCATGTTAATTAATTAATCAATTAATTGACTAATTGTTTCAGCTCTATTCGGTTTGTAAGTATCTTCTATATAGTCAGAGTGAGCATCTATTATATATTATATATATATATATTTATCTATATATCATTTTCATCTATTCAATATCAGTCTTTGCTGTGCCAGTGTAACATATTAGCATCTCTTTGCTCTTACCTGTGCGCAGGTATCCGCCTGTCTCCAGCCACCAGTATGACATCACACAGCTGTCGGCTCCTCAGGTAGCCCTCCATCTTGCGGAAGGTGACGTCAGCGTGGGACAGAGCGGTGAACATACACTCCTCTGGACATGCACATGGCTCCATCGACATGCATGAGGACAGTGTGGCGCTGCTGTTGGACGTCCTGTACGCACATAAACACACGGACACACATATGCACACATACATGGACAAACAGAGACAAAGACAAGGAGACAGAAGCTTTGAGTGCATGTGTTGATGCTGATTCTCTTTTGTTCAAGACAAAGAGACAGATGTGTGGAGAGAGCTCCACCAGCTGCTCCACGTCTTCCATGTGCCATCATTTTCTTTGTTCCATTCCCTCACACATATTCGCTTTCTCCTTCACTTTTTAACAGGGTTACAGTATGTCGCCAGGAGCAGACAAAAGCTCTTTAATAGTCCAATTACTAGGAGTAAATGGCCAGATAAATTTAGCCCACTTAAAAGAGAAGCTGCCAATTAAATAGCTGTGGGAGCTGAGCCCATAGGATATGCAGTAATTTACTCTGCTCCCTAATGGCAACCAGTTTCCTTGTATCTATACCAACAACGGAAAATGAAGCAGAGTTTTGAGCCAGGATGGCTTCAACATTCGTTATTCACTGGTGGAAGTGTTGAAGCCCAGGGCTGTTATGTCTTATTCTTCCAGTCAGAGCTGATGAAGAGTGCGCGTGCATGTGTGTGTGAGAGAGAGAGAGAGAGAGAGAGTTGGTGCGTGTGGTTGTTCGTCAAAGTATACCTACCCTATGAATCATCAGTCATCATGGCGCCCAAACCAGCAATTAATTTATGAGAGCCAGAGCTGTTGCTTCCATTTTTTAATTTCACAGCAGAAGTGGCAGGACTGGCCCTCCAGCACAAAGAGATAAGAAACGGACTGATACTCCAAAGAAGATATCGCTTCAACTCTACAGTTAAATAAAAATTGTCTTTTCTGACTTGTAATTTTTACACATTTTAGTAATTTTTTACTAAATACTGTTATTCTATTTCTCCATATTGTTGTAATTTTACTGTTCATATTTCTGTCTTCTCTGCACATTTATTGCATGTCTGTCAGAAGATGGAGTCCAGTTAATGGATCTTTCTGTGGATATTTTCCTTTTGCTATAATTAATATTTTTGGATGACTCCCGGAGTAACTTGAATTTTAAAGTAATCTGAGACACTATTAATAAAAGTTGCAAGAAAATATCATGCACACAAATTGGCTTGTGTGTGCTGCTGCTGCTCCTGATCTGCTACAGCAGGAGTCCTCTTCACTCTGCTCCTCTACATCTGTCTCCTGTCCTCACATTTATATCTCCGACTAATCTCATCCATCACTCACTTCACTCCACCTCATCCCATCATCCCAATATCCATCTCTGCCTCGGCTTTCTCGCTTCCCCATCCCGTTCTTACCCTCCAAGGAGGCTTTTTGGCTAGCTTTCCTGTCCTCTTGTATATGTGTGTGTGTGTGTGTGTGTGTGTGTGTGTGTGTGTGTGTGTGTGTGTGTGTGTGTGAGTGTATGTAGACGAATGGTGTGGCTAAATACTGCCAGAGGAGATGGCTTTGAAGTGGGGGGAACGCTGCCTTCCAGTCCCCTTAATTGAGCCTGGCAGGCACTCAACGTGGTCAGAGAGGGAGAAACAGAGAGAGAGAGAGGAGAAAGAAAGAGTGTGTCTGGGGCGAATCAACACCATGCAGCCAGATTTTTTAAACCCCTGCACCAGGCAAGGACATTCACACAACTGTCATTGAGTGTCTCTCTCCCTGCCTCTCTCTCTCTCTCACTCACTCACTCACACACACACACACACACACACACACACACACACACACACTCTCCCTTATGATTAACTATCTATCCTGATTAGCCTGTAAGCTAACAGCTAATGCAAATGAAACTTAGTTCTGTAAGGTGATAGACGACGTGATCATACAGCCACGTTGCCTGCCTGGTCACATGTTACACCCTCCGTGACACACATACAAATGCTTTTGCCCCCCCCCCACCACACACACACACATTAGCAGGGAAAGAAGAGAGGGCAGATGAATGGATGAGATGAACATGGGACAGAGGGAGAGAGAGAGGGTGAGTACGGGAGGCACACCAGGATTAAAGGGGGGGAGGAGGGAAGCTGGGTGGGGTGAGAAAGTAAAAAAGAGAGGAGGAGATGAGCGGAGCTGAGTCGAGCCTTCAGCCACTCTGGGATTCAGTATGCGTCCCTTCCTCTGATCCCATTTGGGATTCTGCCACCCGTGTTCTTGGAGTATCATACTGTACACAGGAGCTTTCAGAGGGAGATGATGAATAGCAGCACACACATGCACATCACAAAACTTACATGCACCGAGCTGCACATGTATGCTGCAGAAACTAATCTCTGTGTTGGTATGGCAACAATAACATGTGCAAGGACATGGCTATATCCATGCACAAGCACAATACATACTCAAAATCTGTTCAGGTTCACATCATAATGTCTTCTTTGCTTATGCTAATGAAGCAGGTGTGTGTGTGTGTGTGTGTGTGTTACTATTAAGAAGAAGTAATTTTCTGTGTAAGTGGTGTGACACCAAGCCTTGCATAACAATTGATGTTTTTAAAACCATATTTCTCTCTCTCTCTTTTTTTCGTTTACACAAATGCACACATTTGCAGTGAAAACAAATGGGGTGTAGAATAAATAATTAGAGCTTCAGACATTAATCCATTTTAAAAAATACATCTGCGTTTGCGCTTAGTGAAAGCTGTTTTAATGTGTGAGTGTGTGTGTGTGTGTGCGCAAGTCCTATGAATCATTTATATTTTCTGATGCGTGTCTTGGGAACACGAAGTATGATAGGAGGCTTTCAGATGCATCATTATACCAGGATAGTAAACACACACACACACACACACACACACACACACACACACACACACACACACACACACACACACACACACACACACACAGAGTGTATGTCTTCCTTTACTTGCTCACATTTACTGCTGCATCATAATAAAAACGTAAATCGGTGAGTCTGTGCAGATGCACCTAGGAGGTATAATGCCCTAATTGCTTTGTTTTGCTGTCTCCATGGCAACTATTAATTTAAAACCTTTTCAAACCACTACAGCTGGATGGCCATGCCAATGCAACACACCCCATCATGCATGTGCACACAAACATGCAGACCACTAAGGCTTGTGAGTGAAAGCTGGAGAATCAGTCAGTGGAAACAAAACAATATAAATGTCAAGTGCACTATACAGCAACATGCGGAGCTCAGCCCTGGAGTCATATTGTTAATTTGACTCTGAAAATCCCATATTCACAACAGTGTACCATTTGTGTTTTGTGTTTGTGTACTCAACAGAAACTGGTTGGTGAAGCCTTATTAGGAGGTTGAGAGGAAAAATCAGTGGACCACATGCTGTCCCAAAGGTACTCCGCCATCATTTTCTCTCTCCCACTCCCTCGTTCTGTCTGTCTATATGTAATGCGCGGCCCTCCACTACTGCATACCATCCGAACAGCCTCTTGCTTGGTAAATGCCTCTTTGTAAATCACTTTTTCCTTTATAGTCAGCAGGAGCACATTCACAGTTTCCACCTGTCCTCTATTTGCACCAGTAATGATGATTAGGGCTGCAACTATTTCAATTTTGATTAATCTATAGATTATTTTTTCAATTAATCACCTTTGAAAATAGTCAAAAGAGTCTGCTACAATTTCCCAAAGCCCAAGAAAATGTATTCAAATTGCTTGTTTTATTTGACCAACAGTCCAAAACCCACAAAAATCTTCAGTGTACGATTAGACATGACAAAGAAAAGCATCAAATATCACATTTGAGAGGCTTTAGACAGTGAATGTTTGGAAATCTTACTTGAAATATTACTAAAATGATTAATAGCTTATCCAGATAGTCGTTGATTAATTTAGGTCGACTGACTAGTTGATTAATCAACTAATTGTTGCAGCTCTAATGAGGATTATGATATCAGCAGTGACAAACTAGAACGAGATGATTAAATGTGGCAGGAGAATGATTAATCGAATTATACAAAACTCAATGACTTTTCACACAATAACTAACAACTAAGAAGTTCTTCACTTGCACAAACATTGTTGGGGTGGGTGTGTTTTGTGAATCTCACATCTAAGTTACTTTTAATGATTGTGTACAAATCTTACCCTGGAAGTTTTAACTAAAAAGTCCATAAGCCGACATTAAACCACCCAAACCTCACATCCTACCTGCAAGAGCTGGAGTCGGTTTCCGGGTGGTTGCTCTCCTCGGTGCCCGCCGCTGCCGCTGCCGTCGCTGCTGCCTCCTCCTCCTCTACCCCGGCATGAGCAGAGGGCTCGGGTACCAGCTGGGGCACCGGGGCCTCGCCGGGGGGTTCCATGCTCGTCACCGGGCGAGAGCGACGATGAGGCGGCGGGGAGACCCACGACAGCGCCGCGGCGGAGCTCCGGCACTCTGGCTGACTGAGGGAGCGGGGACAGGAGCTCCCCGTCGCTCCAACTGCCGCTCCTCCCGGTCCGCCTCGACTCCCCGCCGGATCAGCAAACTTTCTGTTGCTGCCGTTACACAGGTTAGACCCAGCGCTACCGCTGGCCACAAGACCGCTGTGACCCCCCGCGCTGGGGTTTACACCGGTTGAATTCGAGTTGCTAGAGCCGCTAACTGATGGTCCGTCTCCGGAGCTGCCGCCCGCTCTCCTCCCGGCGAAGTAGTCTCCCAGCGGCGGGGAGTGAGGCGGAGGGACCGCGGGGTGACCGAACCACCTCCATCGGATCCTGAGAATCTGTTTCACATCGAACTCCTTCCGCGAGGAAGAGCCCGAGCCGCTACTCGACATTCCAGGGCTCGACACGAGGAAATGGCGGGGGAGAGCCCGTACCGCTCTGCCGTTAAAGCTCTACACTGAACTGTTGGCGCGTCTCTACTGGCAACCGCACGCCCGTTACCGCGACTGGAGGGAGTGTGTGAAACATAGCGTAGTATATGGAGACAGAGAGAGAGGGGGAGAGAGAGAGAGAGGGAGAGCGAGAGAGAGGAAGGTTTACACAGAGTTTTAACATCGGTGCCAAAGATTTTTCATACACAAACCAAACCACAAACATTTGCCACAAGGACAAATTAATGTCACAGTAAAATGATACAAGCTTTTCGTAGCAGAAAGGAGTGGTTCTTATTGTCATCATCATCATCATCTTCATTATTATTCAGCAGGCTAGACAATCAATCAATATACTTAATAGTAGCTAAATGTGTTTGTGTATGAGTCTGCATGTGTGTGACAGAGTGTTGTTTTGAGTTGATATGATGAGCTGATGTGTTTTCAACAGAAAATGAATGGCCCACTATGGGTGCAACAAAGGCTGGATTAAGCAAAGTGGGGTAACTGCCCAGGGGCCCTAGACCTCCAGGGGTGCGAACAGCTCTGTTCATATTGCACTCACATGGTGCATTTTCTTAAATAAAGTTGTTTTTCATCAAATTATAGAAAACCTGCGGCCAGGTATAAGAGCTGGATGGTTCCTGTGCAAAACATAGGCAGAGTGAAACTGCCATCTATAGCATGTTGCATGCACTGTAAAGCCCAACAGCACATTTTTATCTGGGGCCCTCAAACATATCAGTCCAGCCATAGCTAAAAATAACAATTTTCATTATTGATTAATCAATGGAAATAATTGTTAGTTTCAACAGTTGTTGTAGGCTATTACTCATATTCAGGACATAAATTTGTTAATTCGGTCACATTATTGGGCTTCACCTCAAAAACAGCATGTCCACAAGGTAAACCTTTAACCATTAAAGGGTTAAGACTGAATGAAGCAGATTAGGTAAGGTTAGGGTAAAATGATTATAAATCAATGCAATGTCCTCCTAAAGACCTAAATCCTAAAAACACTTTTGTGTGTGAATGTGTGTGTGTGCGTGTGTGTGCGTGTGTGTGTGTGTGTGTGTGTGTGTGTGTGTGTGTGTGTGTGTGTATGCATGAGTGCCAGAGTGAGTGAACATGGGGGTTTGTGAAGATACAGCAATCATTACATGTTCAACAAAGACTCTGAAATGTAATGAGGCGATGGACACATCCTCTTTCTCAACTTCATTTCCACCCTGTCTGTTCACTGCCTCCTCTCTGCTTCTCTCTGTGAGCCTCTCTTTCTCTCTCTCTCTCTCTCTCTCTCTGTCTGTCTTATTGCCTCCAAACAGACACACTTTGTTTATAAGCCTGGCTGCAATAAACAGATGTGTGGATTTGTTGTTTGAATCACCACAGCAAGGGACCTGAGTGTCCTTGAAAATGAAATTTCTCTTGTGTCCCTCTCACCACCACATACACATTACCACACAAACACACACTCATACCTCCTTCTTAGGCTCTTTTGTGCCATCTTATCCTTCTTTTCCTGTTTCTCCACAAACGTTCTCTCTTCTCTACCCATTGCTACACTTCTTTCCCATATACCTATCTTCCTCTTCCCTCTCCTCCATCCATCTGCAATGCAGCAGCTATTCATAGACAATAATGATCAGTGGGAGTGGGTCCTGTGGGAGTCATCCCATCCACATGCCTGGGGCACCCAACAGACCAGCAGCAGACCTTCCACAGTAACCCCAGGATGACCACAAGATGTGCCGAAGCCATGGTGCCGTAACACAGTGTGTTCTGGATGGAGGCCCACCAACAGGAGGGGAAGGATGCTTTAGGACCCCACTCTAGCAAAAATCAATGCGTCAAGCAGCTGAGGTCAGTTTATGAATTACACAGATGGGAGATGTGTTACTCATAAATTGGTTCTGCAGAGCAACAGCCAGGCTCACAGATTCATTTTTTCCATAAATAAATGACTGAATGGAGCAGATGAATATGGCTGATTTAACTTCTGCCGCTTTTGTCTAAGAAACAGAGGGTTTTTCTACAGTTTCAGGATGTACTGGCGGCTGAGTGCAGGACCACCCTGCTGCTCTATCTGATCAATACTACAAAGTCAATACACACACACAGGCACGTAAACACACACACACACGCTGAGGCTGAGAGGAGGCAGGAAAACAAGCAGCAGTATTATTAAGGCAAAGAAATAACAAAGGATCAAAGCAGAGGAGTCAGGAACAAGATTACACGGTGAACCTGATTAGACACACATCCAGCTGTGTTTAATGATTTGGATATTTTTTTAATCAAAACTCTAACTAATTAAAATGAATAAACTTGTTAGAGCCAATTTATTGCATCCCCACAAGCAGACTTTGTTACCACCTATTTGGCAACTGTGTATCACAAGTATCACAACATAATAAAACATGTTATTTTTCACACCCAGGAGATTTTCAGTCAGGATGCGTTGTCACATGTAATGTACTGTGTGTTGCATGTTGAAATCTACGTGACACTTCAGTGTTTGGACTTGAATGAGGAGTTTGACTTGAGTGTTATACTCTAATCTGATATATTCTTCTATATAAACTATGATGGTATCTGCCACACTACATGGGACGACAAAATCCTCCAGAGTGTGTATGAGACGCATTGATGTTTTGCACTGGGGATAATTACCTAAATGTACATACACCTAAGTGTTCTTGCATTCTGTTATTAGAGCCTCATGTAACGGTCTCCTAACTGCTATAAATCATTAAACAATTCACAGACTACAAACTGTACAGAGTGCAGCAGCCAGACTACTAACAAAAACTAAGGAAAGAGCTCATATTATTAATGTCTTTGCATCGGATACCAGTTTATTACAGAATCAATTTTAAGATTTGACTCATTTCTTTTAAAGCACTTTATGGCCCGGCTCCAGACTATATCTCTGAATTACTGCAACCGTACCTGGACGCAGTCTGAGGTCCTCAGGGAACCTTTCACTGGTTCACATGTCCAGATATAAGACTAAAGGGGGGACAGAGTTTTTGCTTGAACAACTTCTTTTTTTAAATGGCTCTGAAAACATGTTTTTATCGAAAGGTTTTTGATCAAATGGTTTATCCTCTTTTATATTGGTTCTGAGAATGTATTATTTATTGCAATTGCTTTTTATTACCTTGTTCAATTTAGGTAAATATGTATTTATATGTGTACGCAGGTTGGTTTATGTGTGAAATACGTGTGTAACATGTATGTTTTATATTTTTTGTTTTTCATATAGTCTTTGTAAAGCACTTTGTAATCTCTGGTTGGATATGTGTTATATAAATAAACATATCACTATTTTTATTATGCCTGAAGAAGATCTATGATCAAAAACTTGTGAGTGTATTAAAAAGACTATGCAGACTCTAGTGTGCAGAATTTTTAAAACTTAAAACTTAAATATTCACTTATGTTCCTGCCTTGCATAGTGATTGATCGTCTTCCTTCTAATCCTTCTCTGTGCAGAAACTCTCCATCCGCATCAACTTGGCCATGTTCCCTATTGCTGGTGGGTCCCTACCTATTAAGTGTGGTTGTGTGCTCACATCTGCCTGCCTCATGTGGAAAGAGAATGGATTTAACATTTCACCCATGTGCTGTTTCAATCTTATTTCCAATGTATTAAAAGGTTATCTGGATAACTTCATAATCCTGCTTTTTAAATTTCCGCCCAGAAAAGTCCTCCCTCCTACAGAGCCCTGCAGACAACTTTAACAAAACTAAAGACCCAGAGAGTAAACCAACGCATTTCTGCAACACTCAAGGACGGAAATGCCGCCCTGTTACTGGGGGAGGCTGCGAATGGGGCTCTGAGGGGGAATGAAGCTGAGGAATGACGGGCCATTCAGCTCTGGTCTCCTCCAGTTGGATCTAATCATTGGTCACTTGGCAGGAGACTCCTTGAGCCGCCTACTGTTATTGGTCTCCTGGCTGTGGTAGTCCGAGGCTATCACTCAAAACTCTCTGGCACCGCTTTATGGCTCTGCAGCACTCTGGACACACACACCCACACACAGACACCCACATAAACAGAGACACACACACCGAAGAAAATGACACCATGAAATCCCATTCACACACACTTCGCACTCGATAATCATCCTGTTTATGTGCATTCACACATGCAAGCATGCATGCACACAAGCACACATACACACATACAAATGGCAGCATGGCATTTACGCACACTTTGCATTTAGCTATACACACACACACACACACACACACACACACACACACACACACACACACACACAGACACACACACACACACACACGCACACAAATACAAATACAGAGCCAAATAAAAACAGGTAGCAGTCATCTGGGGAGAGCTGTCGTAAAAGATTTTATGGAGCTAGAAAGTGAAACATTATCTGTCTGGCCCGGCTGTGATGATCAGCTCATCTCTCATGACTTATGTTCATTCTCCAATGGCCTTCTTCCAATTTCTTTCTTTCTGTCTCTCTCTCTCTCTCTTTATTTCATTTCTCTTCCTCCTTTCTGTGCAGACTTTTGAAAACCTCCTCTTCCCCTCCTTTCCTCCCCATCTTCATTCTCCCCTATTCTCACCTAGTCTCCATCCCAGCCTCAATTTCCTTCTCCCTATTCCTGCTATTATACTTTGGCAGACAAGGAATGTGTGTATATCTGTGTGTAATGGTGGGTTTGTGGCAGTGATTCCCTGAGGTGGGGACCTGCAGGGACGACGGTGCAAGAGCCATTGTTCTATATAAGCTGACAGGCATACACACATCATTACTTGTGTGTAAATGCCTGCATGTGCCCGCACACATTCACCTCCACACAGAGAGAGAGAGAGAGAGAGAGAGAGAAAGAGGGAGAGCTCAGAAAAGTATGAACCATATGCCCGCTATACATTCTGCATGCATACACATAACACAAGGAAGCACTTTCATTCAAGTCAC